GGGAAGAAGGAATGGGGGTAAATGACTGCTGTCACTGGTATTTTAAGAGTTTTTATCCCCCTGAACACTAGATTAGTGTGGAATTGGAACATGTTCAATGAAATTGCTTTAACTCTTATGAGTTAAAAATTCCCCAAAGCAGTCTATGTGTGGTAAGATAACTAAGAATTTAGATAGATGTTCTTTTTGTATGTCCTAGAGTCTAATTTTGTATATCCCATTACATAATGAGTTTCTTCTCCCAATAGAACCTTTGTATTATTGGCAACAGACTGAAGATGATTTGACAGTAACCATACGACTTCCACAAGACAGTAACAAGGAGGATGTTCAAGTACAGTTTTTGCCTGATCGTATCAATATTGTGGTGAAGGGCCAGAGGCTTTTGGAAGGAAATCTCTATTCATCTATTGATCATGAAAGCAGTACATGGACAATGAAAGATAATAGGTATTTTTATAATACACGTTCAAAATTTTCATTTTTTTTCTTACTCTACCATAGTGGTTAGTTTCATCAAAGGTGAATACTCTTAACAGGACTGTCTGTGTTCCTGATTGTTTTTCCTAAAATTAGAATTTGTGTCAAAGAACTAAAGTCTAGTGAAGATTAAATATACTAGTATGAATTATGTAATTTATTAACTATAACACATTCCTATTTAAAATAAATAAGGGTATACAGTGAAAAGTCTCCCTCCGACAAACCTGATCACCTCACTGTCCATAACCACTATTAGTTATTTTATGTAAATTCACACAGAATATATATAAATTATATATATTACCTCAGTATTATATAATATGTATTATATCTAATACATATATTTTTTTAGGATTTATTTTTGCATATAAGAACTGGGGTATGGGGGAGAGGGTGAGAGGATTCACCAGAGACAAGAGTGGGGAGCAGAACAAGCAGATCAACTGAAATATACTGTTGAGGAGTGCAGCAAGCAGGACAGGTCAGATCTGCCATGCCATGTGGGTCATCCCCCTGGCCACGGATCAATTTGGTGCTGCAGTGACTGGATAGCTTCATAGTGCTGTGTTTTAAGCCCATTGTGCCACCAGGGAGCCCCCAGAATATATTTTTTTAAGCACAAAAGTTTTCAACATATATACAGCTATAATACTATTTTTGTTCAGTTTGAATAACCTTTTACTTTTATGGTTCATTCTATTTTACTGAATTACACAGCCAATTTTAAAATATTGATACTCTATTGTTAGATATTTAGATTGTTTCCGGTTCTTTGCTACAGC